ACTCTCCCAACATTCCCCGAGTGCATTTTCACACTATAAATGCACGAGACGAGTTTTTCTATTTCTTTTATAATATAAGAAGATATTACCCAGTAAGCAATTTCATTTGAAAGACCGATTTTGAAATTCTCCTAACATGTAATCAGTGACGACACAGGAATGCTTTTACTCTTCGCTTGGCAACAAGCTTCAATTTTCAGGCGGACGAAGGGAGAAAAACATAAATTTTAGAAATTAAACTTAAAAAAACTGGGGACAATTTTCGAAAATGACAAAAATATATCACTGTCATAAAAAGACAAATTTGCTGTCGTCTTGCTGCATCTTACAAGCAGGATTTGGCACGAAAGCCGTGGAGTCGGAGATACTTCGTCGAGCTATTTTGTTTTCATTTGCTAATATTATCATTATTATATTTTTCGTGTTTCGCCAAACTTGATATGTCAAGCAGCTAGTTTTCATTTGAATCACTTTCATAATGAAATTTGTTTAGCTTTTGTATAGGTTTTTTCTATTTTAGTTTTTAGTGTATTCCTGTAGCTTTTAAGTTTTTCTCCGCTAGTTTCATTCCGAGGTATTTTGCAGGGGGGAATAGGGGGGAATTCACCCCAAATCTGAAAATAGCAAAATTGTGGGGGGCATCCCCCCCCCCCCAAATGGGGCTTGACTCTTTTCAGAACATTTTTGATGATTTACTTTAAAACTTTTGAATTATTGTAATTCTTTTGCTGGCCTGCAGGCCCTTGTGACACGTATCAGTGGCATATACTATCTATAGAGATCAGTAGCTTTGAAAAAGTGAAATAAAATAATAATCAATTTGAGTGTGGAAACACAGCAAGCTTGGCAAATGGCAATGCAAAGAAATGCAAAGACTTAAAGAGACAAAACAACTCATTATTCTATTTTAACCAAAATAAATGAGTTTTAATCAGCACACAGATAGAAATCAAAAGCGCAAATCCCATATGGAACAAACAAAGATGAATAGATACTTCAATAAAAAATCTAAGAATGCAGAAGTTGTTGACAACAACAACAACAACAACAACAACGAAAAAGATAATTCCGAAACATCAAGAACATCGGACACAGACATGGCAACATTACAACATCGACAGATGAAGAAAAACGTGATTCAGCCTTGCCAAATGAGAACAGTAGCAATAAAACAACAGCTGCAATAGACGAAATCAGTGCAAATGTTACAGCATGTCTGTCAGAAGTTGGGATCCTAGGTAGCGGCGCTACCTGCAAGTGCCTGAAGCTAACTGCAATCATTGGTCAAAAGGTATTATGCATGCTTAATTTAAATTAAATAAAGTTGAAAATTTCAATTTTTCCGCTTATATTTTGCAATATTTACCGACCATATTTAATTTAATTAATAAGATTCATTCTCAAGACGTAAATTCATCAAATGATGCCATCAAAAACTTAAAATTTCCTGTTCTGTGCCTGAATTTTATTCATCAACCGGCTTGATATATGAAAATTTTCGAGCAATTGGGTTTGAGCAAATTAGCGGACACTCAATGTTGATAATATGAAACATAACTCAAATAAATTTCTTCGACCTCGGTGCCCGGTCCCCTGTCGCAATTTGCAAGCTTCAAGCAAAGCGAGCAAGTTTGGACCACGCAGGGCTAACTTAAATTTTTTTTGGCTACCTGCAAAAAAACTAAATATAAAGGCACGTGTTACAGCAAACCAGGAAATAAGGATATTGATTCGTCTAGTTTGACCTGTATTAGTAGAAAGGATGGTGCTGGTCAGAATTCCAAGCATGTAAAACAAAACGAGGTGATATCAGTGGCCATCAAGAAAAGTGGTTAAGTATTTTTGAGGGATTGAAATATGTTCCTGGCGATGGTTATCATTGCACCATTTGTCAACAGTATAGTCATTCTTCATATATTACAGAACCTGGCCAAAGTTAGCGAATAGATAAAATTCGAAAACATTTTGGTGAACGGGAACATGAGCAATATCCATTTTAATGCACAAAAGAAAATGAGGGAAACAAAGCAGGGTCAAGTAGAAATAATTGAAACACTGAACAATCCTGCTGAAGTAATTTCTCGCCAAAAGAAAACTGAGGTGATGGAAAAATACTTCAGGACACTGTACACATGTGCAAAGCAAAATAATCCACCTAATGATGGTTTAGATTCTTTGCTGTATCTACAGGAAGAGAATGGAGTGAATCTTGATGAAATAAAAATAACTGATGAAGAAAGAAGGAAATCAGAGAGACATATACTGGTAAAAAGGTAAAATCCTACAGATACTGTCAACCTGAGGTTAGTGAATCATTGAAATGCCTAGCTCACCCATTAACATCAGATACATGTATGGTAGAATGTGTCCGTGACAGTGATGGCATTGGTTTGGTTGCCTGAAAAATGACTCACCTCATTGGTTTTTTAAGAAATGGTAGGAGTGGAGAATGGTACTGCTTCCGTTTTAGCCCATGCCTTGAAACATTTTGTGGAAACAACTCTTGAGGTGTCAATGACCAAAGTCGTACCAATAGGTTTTGACAGGTGCAACACTAATGTAGGAGAAGCTAATGGTGTCAAGTCATGGCTGAAAAAGTGGAACCCGTATATCATGTTTTATTTATGTTTGGCTCATCGACTGAATCTAACAGTCAAAGATGCTGCAGATAAAGTAGATGAAGTTGCCAAATTCACGGAGCTAGACAACTTTGGTTTAGCTTAGTTGAAGGATTATTGTCCAAAAAGAACATTGTTTGATGATTGCCTTACGTGATATCTTGCCAGTTGTATTCGCATTATGTCAAAAGTTGCAATGCACGACCAGTAAGGATTTGACTACAGAACACTTTAATGATTATTATGCTTAGATAAACTTGAGGAATTAATCAAGAATGTAGGGGAACACATGAACAGTTAGAATAATTTCGTGGAGGTAACATGTGCAAATTTAGACATTGGGGGAAGGAGGAACACGAGAAGAAGATTAGACAAAGATGTTCTGAAGGACAAAAATTACAAAGAATTTGTAAAGCAAGTTACAGCTAATGTTGTTGAGCGGTTAGGTAATATCCAACCACTAGTTACTTCACTAGCCAAGTTCATTAGCTGGTTCCAGGTAACATGAAGCTCATCTGAAATATGAGATCAATTAAGTAATATGTGACCACTACTGTTTGAGCTAAGTTGGATTTGACTCACCATTCCTACGAACAGAACTCGAAAGTTATAGGAAGGAGTGGATTGCATTCATGTATCGTCGTCGAGATGCCTCCTTGTGCAACTTCATGAAATGGATCTTAAAGTCAAAACCAGGTGGTATTCCAGATAGGTATTCCTATTTTCTTGCGACAGTGTTGATTTTACTTCCTTTGACAAATGTTGAAGCAGAGAGGATGTTCAGTCAGCTCAAGATAGTAAAGACCAAGTTAAGAAGCAAAATGTCGCAAGTATTTTTAAACTGCCTTCTGAGGATAAGATATAATGGTCCCTCATCTCCTGTATACTTTACTGAGTATTCTAGTGAAGTCAATTATCAATGGAAAACTTTGACACAAAGATTGATACTACCCTGAATGAGAAACACTAGCACTAAATGCCCATTATGCTGGACACTCTGATTCTATGTAATGAATGAATTTATTGAATATCATTATTAGTATTAAACTGGTAAGTGGCAAGGCATACTGTATAACCTTGAGTATAAAAATGGGTAATCACTTAGGGCCTGTTCATATGGGCAGAAGTTATCCCGGTTAGCGAGAAAACTTTACGACTAGCCAAATACTTTTGTTCTGTTCATATGGAGAAACTTTATCCCGATTACCGGGTACAGTTTTCGGCTGTGACGTGGCACTGAACATCAATTGAATTGAAAAGTTGCTGACACGACAGAAAGTTATCCCGCTAAGCGAGAAAGTTGTGTTCATATGGGAAAAACATTATCCCGGTCACCGAGATCTCGCCTGCATGTCAACAAGCGAAATCTCGGTACACGGGAAAACTTTTTGTCTCATATGAACGCAGTGTAACTTTTCATATTATTTTCATACCAAGGCGAGATCTCGCTTGTAAACTTGTCGAAACGTTTTCTCGCTAACCGGGATAACTTTTGCCCATATGAACAGGCCCTTAGAGGTGAAGTTGGTGAACCCAGACATCATTTCTGTCCCCTCACTTGGAAATAGGTGAGCGTAGGAAATTACGTCTGGGTTTGTGACTATAGGAGGGCGGAATCCCCCCCTCCCCTCCCCTCCCGCAATAAAAAAACCGCTAAAATTTTGGAGAAGCTCCTGCCCAAGTCCCAAAACCTAAAATACCCCAGGACTCAAAAACGGCTTCGAAAATTTCTTTGCCTTTCTTGTCCCGTTGTCTCTTGTTGGCTGCTTTAGCACTTCATTTTCGGTCTATTCTTTCTTGCTTTCTAATACACTTTGGATTAAAACAGCGCTCTATAATTTTGTTCACATTGTTTTACAAAAAAAATACCCGGCGAAAAACCAAGACAGTGCATTAAAGTGTCATAATGCATGAATTAGCTAAATGTTGTTTGAATGGGTAAGGATTGGGCCACAGTTCCAACAGATTTTGGAAGGATGGGCCATGCATGCTAACAAAACACGCGCGAGAAAAAACGGACTTGACGACTTGCATGCTAACCAGTCTTATTTTTAAGTCGAAGTCAAGTCACAAGTCATTCTGTACAGTTCGTTTTACCATAAACTGGGGAGTCGGCCATGATAAATAAATATTAATATACTAGCTCAAAGGCAAACTACGATATACCAATTTGAATCTGGCTGCACTGTAACTCACTGTGCATCGATGAATTTCTGGAACAAGTTGTACAAAAGTTTCCTTTCACTATAGACATTTACGAATTTACGTTTGACTTGCATTGGTAACAAGTCTTTTCTTGTAAGTCCAAAACAAGTTACAAGTCGTTCATCTGATTATCAAGTCAAGTCACAAGATACAAAAATTGCGATTCTAGTCCCGACTTCAACAAACCAACCTTTTCTCTGGTATATTCAAAACCTGAGCTATTGCCATCTGAGTAGCATCAATATATTGCGTTGCAGCATAGATCTCCATCTCTTCCTCGCCAGGGATGCAAAGACATGCCTAAACGTGTAAATGTTTTGACAAATTATGGGCTTGCTGGCAAATAAAATGTTTTTGCTGAATGGGTGGAGGTCTCATATAACATTTTTCTACATGCAATAAGAATCTCCCACCCACTCTAAGGTATAAGTAACGAACTGTCTCATAAGTCCCGCAACTTAAATAAGATAAGTAAAGTACAAACGTGTGTTTCCATGTGAATGTGATGTTGCGTCCCCAATGAAATTTCTCCGCTGATGACATGCGCAGATGATGCCATTGCTCCTGTGAAATTATAAAAACAATGATAAAACTAACAGACTAAAAAAATCACGCACCAAATACAAAGCAATGCCTAACTTCATTTGGACGCCGCAATATAGTAGTACACAAATAAAACTGGGGAAAATAAAAGTGCGTGTTCAAACCATGCTCGCTCGCTCGCTCGGAACAACCAACTTTTCCCTCCCTCTGAAAAGTGTTGCAATTACAATGTAAATCTTTCACTTACCATCGGGATCTCCAAATACTTGATCCACAATTTGTGCTGAGAAAAATGACGAGGCTTCAATTGCGTCTTGAATGGAAATAATTGGAGTCTTGCAGTCCGTGTAAGTGATCTTCACTTTTTCAGCAGCTTCATCTGCCAAGCTTTGAGTGTCTATGAGAGATGATTATGTTATTCTTAAAATAATTATCCATTTTTGAGAAACATTTCACAAAATTAAACAATCCCATGCGTAGACCATTCCCAGAGGCGGATCATTATTAATCTCGCGCAGGATGAACTTCATATAAACATATCTAAGAAATACAGGCGGTTTGCAATGTTGTATGAACAGTAGTTGTAGAAACACGATTTTAAAGTCGTGATATTGGGGATCAGTATTCAAAATGGTCGTAATAAGCTATGGAAACTACGATTATAGGAACTAAAAAAGGTTTAAATACTTTGAAAATGAGTAGGAAAGTTTTAAAAAATTGGGGTTGCCCTGGTCGCATATTTTTCAGTTTGAGGCCGCCCCCAATTCAGAAAAAAGGTTGAAGCCGCCCCCTTTTCTCACCCCCCCCCCCTTCCCATTATTAATGACCGGTCCCTTACCAAGGGGAAAACAGTTGCGAAGCATGGAAAACAGTTACGAGGCATTTTTCTAAATTCCATACCAGGCGAATATTACACATTTATTATTGATCTTTAAACACGGTAACTTTTCACATAGGTGATTTTCAAAGGGCCGTACGTGCGGAAAATACATACATTATAAGAGAAGGATAGTTATTAGTAATAAACTAAATTAAAATTATTTTAAAACTAGAAAATACATGCATGCAGAAACCCTCGCCTTGCTGACAAAACCATTGTATTTTCCGAACATGAAGTATCTAAAGTAGTTGTCATGGTAACACGATAATTTTTTAAGAATATTCTTACAAATAAAAATCGCCTAAAAATATCAATTTTAATTACAAAATTATCAATTTCCCAACATATATATGTTAGGTATGTTATTATACGCAATATAAGCCTTAATTTAAGGTAAAATTCAACCACAAACGCTTCGCAAAACGTTTTCAAAGTCACTATAGACTGTGTTAAAAACTAAACTGCCTTTTAAAATGGCTTTATGGATATAAACATTGAGTTTGCAAATAACTTTGCTTTCTTTTTTATTTAAAAAATTCAATATCATAAGAAAGGAATCAATATAATATTAAAGATACACTGAAATTATATGCTGTTTTGTTTAGTTGTTTCATATGCGCAAAGGCCGTCGGGTTTTAAAGCCATTATAAAATCAATATTTAAAACAAACTTACCTTCGTTAACGTCGGCTCCCTTCTTTTAGCCGATTCTTTCGCAGTTTCTTTCTCAGAGAGCTTTTGAAATTTACAAAATCTTGCAAAAATGCGAGCAAAATGAAATATATTTGCAAGGAATTTATCAATCATCAAGTCAAGAAATGTTTGCTATTTCGCTGTCGTCATGCAGTCGTTATAATGCAAACTTTAAATTGGACCAATCAGTGTCCGCTATTCGTGATAGTCCGCCATATTTTTGAGATCAGTGAGGATGACCACCCACCCCACACCGTTGGTGACCCACGCCCGCGATAATTGATGAACTTTATACTCCGCTAATGCTTTCGTTTCCCCGGGTATAAATAGCCGGGGGAATTAGTACCCTCGCACGGCGCTTCGCGCCGTCGGCTCGGGGAATATACTTATTTAGTCGATACAATACCGACACTTCAATTTAATTCATGACGTCACAATAATAAATCAGCGATGACGTCATCAAGTTCATAACCCATATATTCTTCCTTTACAAGTACAATCACGAGCCCCAAGGTGCAAGTGTAAGTTTATGTAGCTCTCTTATTCTACAATATTTTGTGAAATATTGCATTCTGAAATAATTATTTATGTGATTTTTACGAATGCTGACCAAACATATAGTAGGCTCAAGTGGTATTGAAATTACCAATACTTTTCGCATGTATCGAAAGAATCGATGGCATCGGCATCTCTGTTTAAACCCCCTCGATCCAGTCGAAGATTCAGATCGAAAATTTAGATCGAACATTTAGATCGAACATTCAGATCGAATATTCAGTTTATAGTGCCTACAATTCCAGTGCACAGCTGGGAGTAATAGACTCAATGCAGCTGACTTTAACATGAAACCATGTATGACATCCAGCGTTCCTTTGGAAGCCTGTTTCTGTGACCCACTATACTCCCTTGTGCGGTATGACATGCAGGGTGCGATAATTCAATATTTTTAGCCGTACCTAACTGGTACTCCGACAACTTTTGCCGCGTACCTGGTCTGGTACAAACTTAAGAGTCAAGACGTACCTATATAACACTACTTCCGAGTCATGCGTTTTTATACCTACGTATAGTGACTATAGTTTACTGGTGCAAAAGCACTGAAAAAATGTATGGGCAATTTTGTACAAATGAATCTTTAATTATGGTATTTGTACAACATAATATAACAGTTTTCGAAGCGTTGACGTTGTGACTCGAATGCCATCGCTCATTTACAGTGGATTTACCGAGGGTGCTAACAGTCTGACCTCAGCTACATACAGTGTAGTTTTCCTCATTGGGCCTAAACAAAACCTGTGGTTCGGGTTTCATATCGCGAAAAAATATTGACAATTAAGCCCAGGTCACACCACACAACGATAACGATAACTTGTAAACACGCGATGATTGGTAAAAAAATTATGTTGGTGTCCACACTACAACGAAAACGATAAAATTATCGGCGTTTGACGATAACGATTTTAAAATCGCTCACCCGAGCGATTTTTTTCAGTCGGACGATGACGATAAATTTTTTGATCAAGCACAAAGATAACCTTTTGGCTTTTTTCATTCCAAAATATGTCGGATGCGTGGAATTTACATGTACAGCTAAAGTTCTTCACGGTTTTGAATACTTTGGCAGGTTTGCTAGTCATTGCTAGAAGGAAAATGTAAGTACGCGAATAGCAAATTTCCGCGTACCTACGTGGTACTTGCCTAAAAACAAAGAAGTACCAGACCATAAATTTGGCGTACCTCCGGTACGTTGGTACGCGAATTATCGCACCCTGTGACATGTCGTTCGCACATCAAAGAAATTGGAGCAAGTCTAGCATGATATCTAGAGCAGTTGAACAGAGCCGCGGTCGGAATAATGAGTAGTTTCTTTCATTATAACAATACATCTTTGCCATTGCATGGTGAAACGGTACAATGGGTCTATAGACCAGAGTATAGTTATTCAGTACAAGTCGAAGGGTATAATCTCACAATATCCAAAGGCTCGTTCTATCTAATAAATGCAATCTTGTTTAAAGAAGCTCCTCGAGGTTAAAAAGATGTTGTTAGAGCTTCGTTCACATGATATGGGTCATCAGCAATCATTCAAAGACTGCTAGAAATTATTGAGGTAGCAGTTGCCCTATAGTATCCACGAGAACCAGAAACTTCCACAAGTCGATGTTACTCTGTTTACCACAGGAAAGCAGATTTTCAGCAAGTGAATCATAATAGTAATTCAACTAAATGAAGTGCAATTTGTCTGAATTGAAACAAGCGATTACAAAATCCCACGACCGCGAAGCGAGAGTAATCACAATTTTGATTTCAGACCAAAAGTGCACGACACCAAGTTCAATTTCCACTTTATTATACAGATTTTGAAATCTGGAAAGCGAAAATGGAAAAATCGAAAATCGTTTACAAAGACACACCAACAGTACTCCCCTATATAAATGCTGTAGCGTAGCAACAAGCTAACGAGCTGAAATTTCATTAAATCTTGAAATGTTTTAACAAAATATTGGGAAATTTAATTATGGATACTGTGATACTGTGAAGACTAAAAGACAACCAATGTAAGTTTAACAAATAGTTGTGCAAGCTCTTGTGGTGTCGTGGTAATCACGCTTGCCTTTCAAGCTGGGAGCGCAGAGTCCAGTCCTTGATCGAACTTCTACTCCTGCCACCTCCGCAGGCCCTCGTTGTATCATGGGAAGGTCACGATTTCGAGAGGGCCTGCGGAATCTTGTAAAATGAATAAATGTTGCACTAAACCTGCTTCGTTAAAGAAGGCAGTTTTATTCGTGCAACGTTGGTGTGGACAACAAACCTTATCGTTAAAAATGCTTCCTTCCACGTCCTAAGAGTCGCCATTTTAAATTACAAGTTTCACGCCGCTTTTTTATATCCTGTTTATATTCAAGATTATGTAGAAATGTACTTGCTGACGTGACGCTGGCGCCATTTTTTTACAAGATTCCGCAGGCCCTCGCCAGATCGTGACCTTCCCATGACGCAACGAGGGCCTGCGGAGGAGGCAGCTTATACTCTAGGTGTTCAAGATTAAAAATCGTAGGTACCTCGAATCCCCTATCAATTGGGCAATATCTTGTTGGCAAATCCGCTCACCAATGAGTGAGAAAACTCAATAAACGATTAATATTACAGGTTTTATTAGTAATTTGATATGGTTTTCATGCGGTTTTTGGTGCATTCAAACATCAACGTTACGAATTATACGATGTACGAGTTTACCTTGTTTTGCCTGTCGCTTAAATGCCCATAATTATTTGTGAAAAATTATTTAAATTAGCAAAGGCAGTGGCAAGGGTATGTCCAAATAAAGATTTGTTTATTTTGCTGAATTTGTCATGTCACATTTTTATTAAAATTGATTAGCTGGCTAAGGAAACCATCTCAGTATGATTGCTTTAAAAATGGTGCGATTACAGCTCAACCTGATGCGAGTAATTTTGAAATGAACTATTAATTCTGAAGCAATTAAGAACCCATGCCACCAGATTGTAGGAATCCTTAAAGTGCCTATGCAACGAAATTTCACCGAACGTTTCCTTGATTGCATTGCAAAGATAATTTAAAATGACTATGTAACCTCTTTGATAGGATTTTTGTAGCTCTCTTCTTTCTTAAGATATTCAACTTTGTTTGATATGCAAATATCACCCTTATGACATCACAATGAATAATCCATTCTTAATAAGCGTCATTAGTGACAAATTCTGCATACAAATACGGAAGCATAATCAATAAACTTGGTTTATGCACATGCTACAAGTGCTATTTCAGATACTTTTTATCGTTATGCCACAAAATAAACATTCT